TTTTCTAAATTATTTTTCCTATATAAATTCTATCAAATATTTTTATTCTGGTAATTACGCTTATCAGCCTTGATTTCCCTGCTTTGCATAGAAAGTTATTAAATGCTCTGAGGAAGAGGAATAAAAAGCTTAGAGACAGGACCAGGGGAGGAAGCATGCTATCCATGCAGATAAGCTCTGGCCTGAGTTTCTATAAGGTGAAGGGCACGAAATGGTAGAGATGAGAGTTAGGAGTAGAAAGAAGCAGGGAAATAGAAAGAAGAGAAAGAGTGAAAGCACACGCTGTCTGCTTTGAAAATGATTTTAGGAGCAGCCTGGTGGCAGTTCATCAAGAATGTTCATTTAGCTAAATGACTTCTAGACCTGGGACTTTCCTGAGAAGTCACCCCGTAGTGGAGAAGGCGGGCAGGAACACCACTTCTCTGTAAGCTCCCTCTGCAGCCTTCTGCAGAGCTGGCTGGTGAGCTACTGGCAGCCCCTCCACTGGTCCCACACCCAGTTTTCAGGAGTCAGGATCATTCTATAGATTTCCAAATCCTTTAAGCAAAACTAAATCTTTCCACTGCTGGCCTGAAAATCACAGAAGATACCCCAAATCACCACCATTCAATAAAGCAGTGACTACGGAAAGAACAGCAGTTCATTAGCAAACTCTGCAAATGAATCTCTAGGTAGAATATATGCATAACTTCTTAGTCTGAATCTAGCAGCATATTCCAGGTAATTGCAGACTCCAAGATATTATCCAATGGCTTTTAATTGAGGAAACATGCACCCTAAAGAATTTATCCCATCACTAGATGGATGAATAGATAATGATAGATACACACATATATATTGTGTGTATATGTGTGTGCATAAATATATGCCTAACTGTAACAAATAATTGGGTTTTTTTAAGCCACAACAGGATTACAAACCAATACAATGAGTTAACTTAAAATATGTCATATTAAAATTTAGGTACCAACACAAGCAGAAAGGAAGCCTAATTCATACCAGAAAAATATCAAAACACACTCTGGTAAGTATCTAGCTAGTCAGACAATCTAAAAGCAGTAATTCTTCATTAGCATTGCAAAATTACAATGTTAGTGGTGTATGAACATCTCCTGGTGGCTGGCACAAGATGTTGTATAAGCTAGGAACAGGTGCCTCAAATTTGGTTTGTTGCACCATGACAGGATTCCACTTCAAAGACTCATCTTTTTCCAGTTTATTCTTTTCCAGGAAAAGCTTTTAATGCCCTTTAATAAACAAACAAATGTAACCACCCTTCACTTTCATAAACAAACACGACTGTTCTTGTCCCCCCCATGCCTTTTGTGGGGGTGGGGGAGGGAACACTTAGAGGCTTTTTTTTTTTCTTTAAACAACACCAACCTTCTGACTGATGAAGAAACAGAGGGAAACTGAAAGAACAAAGTGAAAAATCAGTCAGGCATGCAGGCAATTCCTTTCCTGGTAGTGTCAGAGTACACATTATTATTCATGATATTTTAGTTAGAAGACAGCACCTCCAGCAAAAAGCATCACCAAGCAGCACTGTGTTAGGTTGTCCATCACATCTTTGCTACTACCATTTCCTTGCAGAAAAACTGTCATCTAAACATCTACCATGGCCACCCCTCCAGAATAGTCCCACTGGTCTTGCTCATTTTCCTGGGACAGTAGCCTAAGTCCTCTCTGCATAATTACTAATTAGAAGCAAAAAATGAACATTTTGTTTGAGGTATTCATGCAGGAAAATGATAATGATTTTGTAATATAAGGTATCTTCAAGTCTGTGCTTTGGGAGGGAGGGTGCTGTAAGAAAACACAATTACTGGGTGATTCTCAGAAGCTAAAACAGAAGTGCCATATGTCCGGCAACACCACTTCTGGTTGTATACCAAAAGAATTGAATGCAAAGTCTCAAAGAGATATTTGCACACTTATGCTCATAGCAGCATTATTCACAAAAGACAAAAAGTAAAAGCAGCCCAAATGTTCACTGATGGATGAATGAATAAAGAAAATGTAAAATCTATATCTATATAGAAATATAGATATATCACATAAAATATTATTTGACCTTAAAAAAGGAAGGAGATTCTGATACATGCTACAACATGGATAAGTCTTAAAGACATGCTAAGTGAAATGCACTAGTCACGGAAAGACAAATACTGTATAATTCCACCTATATGAGACACTTAAAGAAGTCAAATTCATAGAGACAGAAAGTAGAAAGGTGGCTGCTAGGAGTTTGGGGAGAAGAGAATGTGGCGTTGTTTAATGGATATAGAGTTTCAGTTTTGCAAGATGAAAAGAATTCTGCAGATTGGTTGCACAACAATGTGAATATACTTAACACCACTGAACCGTACACTTATTGGTTATGATAATACATTTTGTTATGTGTCTCTTATCACAATTAAAAAAAAAAAACCCAACACCTATGCTCCCTAATATTTCCCAATGTGATGTGATAACAATAATACCCTACATGCCGGAGAACTGAGCACTCCAGAGGACTGGGCCTCCACATTTGCTTATGCTCACTCAACATGATCACCAGGGATGAGTTCGGTTGTAAAGGGTGCACTCAACAGAGTTTTATTTTTTATTTTCTTTTTCCACTAGCATGAATGGGGAAACTCTATCCTTCTAAAACCCAAGCCGCCCAAACATCTGTGGATGCTGACTCACACACTATGGTGTGATCTGGGATTCTGGGGAGAAGAAACCTTTCTGTGTGTCAGGGTCTGAGGGAGAAGAGAGATTTGTTAAGGAGACCCCATTCCCCTTCTTATTTAGAGAATTGAGGAATGTATTCATACTGTTTCTCCTTATAAAATTCACCATCCTCTCTCCAGATTAAAGGTGACCATTCATCTCTTTCTACTTTGAATTTCAAACTGAAATCACTATTCAACTTGGCAGGCATTCCTATCTAAAAATTACACCCAAGATGCAGATTCCAGGTGCTTCCCACCGCTCAACAGAGGCTGTCACCTTCTGCCATTCTGTGTCCTTTTTTTTTTTTTAGAACTACTTCCAGGCCTGGGGCTCAGAGGTGTTGCATCATGGTGACACTTTATAAACCCTTTTTTGCATCTCAAACACAGAGCAACACAGCAGAAGTGGACAGCTGGAGAAGGGGCTGGGAAATGACTAGGGAGAGAAAAGGCACCCCTGGAGAAACGGAAGCAGCCGTTGGAAGGATGCATTTACAAAAAAGACACCAGGTCCATCTGGAAAGTATTTTAACAAACCAAAAAGCCCCTTTCGACTATGAGCAGCAGATTAGCAGAACATAAAACTTCTTGAGCAGCAAAGCTCTATGACCCATTAAAAGAGCAAAACAAAACCGAAAGAGCTCCTTCAAAGGGTGTCCGGCCACTGCTATACTATAAGGTTCTTCCTGGCACTCAAGGGTAGCACCATGTACAAGAGACCATCCCACCACAGGTCTTGTGTGTGTCTTTTACGGGCATTCGTGCAAAGGGCTCAAACCTGCTATAAATCCAATCTCCCCCTGACTCTCCACACTTGATGAGAATGTAGGCTGGCTCTCCGAACTAGTGCAGGGTTTCTGAAACCACCAGGGCTGATATCTCCAGCTTACACTCTTCCCTTATGCTGTCAGCTTCCTCTCCATTTTCTTGCACAATAGGGTAGTAAAATATGAGGGAAAAAAGTTCAGAGGACAGAATCAACAATGATTTTTCTCTTTCATCACTGGTCTAGTTATTTGGCATTAATGGGATGTAAACAACATGTGAGGCCACTAACCCCTCACCCCCTTGTTGTTTTTCAGGACAGACATATTTGAGAATGCATCACGCTGGAATGAAGAGATGGTACAGGCAGTTTCTAATTCTGGTCTCCTCTTGTCGTTATCCTCCCTGCCTCAATGAACACATTCACATAGCCAAAGAAGCAATCTAGCATGCACTCCAAAAACATACAGAAAAAGCTCAGCAGCCTCTCTGGCTAACCTGTTCAAGAGTGTCACAACAGTTCAACAATGTAGTCACTTCCTTCTCCTAACTCAGATTTAAGACACTTTCCTTTTTCATGGATAGGTCCGAAAGCATCAGGTCGCTGTGTAGAAGTCTTTTAAGTTCTTTATTCAACTGTCTCTCATGGGTCACAGGAGAAATAATCTTGGGCCCATGAGATGTTCCCGGGCTCTCACTTTCCAACCCTCTAACCACCTTACTGCTCTTCTGTGCATTCTTCTAGAGGAAGCACAAGGCCGAGGCCCTACAGCTCCAGTAAGTCAAACCTCAGGGCCTCTTCATGGCCTGCTTGATTTCAGCTCCAGGCTGTGCTGGATTCTTAAACTCCCCTGCAGGGCAAAAGACTTCCTCATCTCATAGACACGCTGTCCCTACTGTTTCTTCTCTACTCTAGGTTTAGGTTAGTAAGGGGGAAAAAAAGAAGGAAGAGAGCAGAAACAATGTTTTTTAAAGGAAACTTAAGAATTTATAATGACATAAGAAATTATTTTAACATGAAACACAAGCCAAAAAGATGAGTCTTATGAGACAAAAAGTACATGAAAGCAATGCACTTTTGCATACAGCCTGGCAGCACATTTTAACGCATATCCATTTTCTATATTTTCTATCACCCTTTGAACGCCCCACACAAGTCTGCAAACAAGCCGATCTGCCCAGTTTCAGATTTATGCTACTGGGTAAAAATGACAAGAGGCCTAGCTGAATTCCATGAAAAGTTATTTAAAGAACATCTGAAGTTTTGTCTTTTTAGAGGCACAGAAGTTCTAAACAGGGAAGCAAGAGATTCTGAGAATTTCGTTTTCACCATCATGGCTCAATGTTTGTTCCTCTAACGATGCGCCATTACCAGCTATGCATCAGCTCTTACGTTCAAAGCCAGAGCAAGTTCTTAGCATTATAGAGATAGTTAAAAGACAGTTCAAGGAAAGAGAAACAGGTATTTTAGAGTGGCTATGAAAGGTTTTTCAGGGGGGAAAAAGCACTACTAACCTGTGTTGTTTTAATCTGCTGAAAACAACCAAGTTCTCAAGTTCCCCTGCTGTCTTCTAGTCAGTTTCCTGTCAATGTTGCATGTGACACTATACTTCCTCACTGCACCTTCTTCCACTCTCCTCTCACCCGGTCAGAGGCATGTGATAAGATCGTTGGGCTGTTGCTTCACATGGGGGTAACTCTGTGTCTACAAAAATGATTGTCTCCCCTCAGGGGTCCCTCAGCAGGTTTTGGATGTTCCTAGGACATAAGTAAAGAGGAGATAAACCAGGGAAAGTAATGTCTGGACTCTGGAACACTTCCGACACCACAGGAAAGGTGGGGGAGGGGAGAGACAGAGTCTTGAGCCACAGGGTCGCCCATTCTGGGTTGGGGTTCTGCAGCTGAGCAGGGGCAGACTGCTCACAGAGGAGCCTGGAGCTTGGGGGCACCACTGTCATCAGGACTGCTAAGGAAGGTCCCTTGATGATGCTGCGCCCAGGATGTCCCCACATCCCTTTCTGGAGGGCACCGCCATCAAAGGGGTACACTCAGGTCTCGGCTCACATTTCTGGATCCTGCAGCAACCAAAGCCACGCACCCTGAATTTCCTAGGATTGTCCCAAGTTCACATGCAGTCATGCTGTCAGGCGGTGTGCCCTAATTCTTGGTTCAGGAAGCCAAACCACCGTATTCTCAGTCCCCCCAAGGCGAAATAACTGGCAGACATTCCGCCTGGCTGACCTCGAAAATGCGCCAGCCTTTTGGTTTCTCCCTGATAAGGCCGGTATCGTCTTCCTGTGGGACGGAGGCAGGTTCCTGGCAGCATGTGAGTGCTGACCGTGGGGGCTCTGACGCTGGCCAGACAAGAGCACCAGGGGGAGGGCCCAGCTGTCGTCTCTCCCTGCCCAGGATGGGAACTAGGGGGAAGGCTGGGAGAGAGGCGGGGCGGGGACTAAGCAACCAACTCTAGGACCCGTTTCTAGCTTTCCTATTCCAGCCGTCAGTGCCCTCTTCTTTCCTTTTATAATTCCCCCAGCTATCAGGAGGGTCCAAACATCTGCGGACAGAGGAAGTGGTGTGTGGGAGTAAAATGATGTCCTGGACCAAGGAGAATATTCTGCAAGTTGTACAACTTGACTCAGTGCAGAAACCCCAGACTTGTTTCTGTTTGGCTACCCTGGCATGATCCTTTTTAAAAAATGCTTTTACAGGGATTTTTTGGTTTGTTTTTCAGAAAGGTAACTGTAGACAAGTTCTAAATCTTGAAAATATTACACTATAATTCCCTGATGAAGTTTTCCATGTGACAATACCAAGTCAGGAAATGAGTCCTGGGAGTCAGAACTGTGGACAACAGTAAAATTCTGAAGTCTCACCACATGATTGCAGCTCTGGCTTCAAAAACAGGAGTAACTGTTTCACCATTTTCACAGCTGATGGCTGGTTTTCTGACTGAATTGTACATCTGGATTAGACAGTTGAGTCAAGGTGGCTGTCCAAGCTACAGACATGGCATTAGTTTTAAAATAGGAATAATGGTAAAATGTTGCCATCTTAAAATCAGAAATTGCCAAGAACTTTGGAAAAAGAAAATACTATGTAGATGAAAAATAATAATGACTCAATTTGAATGTATTTCGAAGTGTCACATTCTGGGTTAAGCTGCCAGTTTCATTTTTTAACTAAGCAGTTGCACATGTTCTGCTTAAGCCATGCTCTATATGGAATTTTTTAAGGTCTTAATAAAATGCTTTATAATTTTCCTTTAAAATCCCTAACCTGGCTTTCTGTTCATAAAGTTTTTTGGTTTTGGTTTTGGTTTTTTTTCTGTGTAGGCATTTAAAAATGTTAATAGACTGTATTTTTCAGAACAGTTCTAGATTTACAGAAAATTTGAGAGGCGATTACAGAGTTTCCACATATTCTACCCAGTCTTTTTTTTTAACCTACTTTTTTTTAACTTCTTAGGTTTAGTATGATACATAAGTAACAATCAATAAACCAATATTGATACATTGCTATTAACTGAAGTCCATGGTTTACTTAGATTTCCTTAGTTTTGACTTTTTTGTTCCAGGATCCCATCCAGGACACCACATTACATTTAGTCACCATGTCATAGGTGCCACTTGGCTTTTTGATGGCTGTGACAGTTTTGAGAAAAACTTGTCAGGCATTTTATAGAATGTGCCACAGTTGGATTTGTCTGATGCTTTTCTCTTGATAAGATTGGAGTTACGGGTGATTTGGAGGAGGACCACATGCGGAAAGCGCCATTTCGATTGCATCATATCAAGTATACGAGGGGGGACCCTCCCCCCACAAAAGGAATTTATTTATTAAAAATTGTGTATTTACTCCTACATGCTTAAACTCCAGTCACCTTCAGAGTACACCCATTGAGATGCTTTTGCCATGGCTCAAAATAGTTTTTGAACTGTCAATTTTGATACTATGTAGTGTTTGTCATTTTTTGTTTCACCTCTTCTACAGTGGCAAAACATTTCCCTTAAGGACTTTCTTTCATTGGGGAAACAAAAAAAAAAAGTTGCTTGGGGGCGAGATCCGGTGAACAAGAAGGATGGGACATGGGAGTCATGCTGTTTTTTGGTCAAAAATTGCTGAACACTCAACAATGCACTGTGGGCAAGTGCATTGTCATGGTGGAAGAACCAGTGACCTCTTTGTCAAAACTTGGGAGGTTTCTCCTGCAAATAGTGATGCAACTTTCTCAAAACTTCCAGATAAAAACTTGGTTGACCTTTTGATTCAGAGGAACAAATTCCAAGTGTACTACAAAGGACTCACCCTCCAAAAGGTAATTCCAGTTTTGGGGGGTTCCCCCTCTTAGATGCTACATATCAAAGTACTTTAATCAAAATATTTGCTCAGTAGGGAAAAAAGCAGTGAAAATAAACAATGTTCATTAGTCCAAACAAAAATTAATTGACCGCTCTACTTCCTCCATTCCCAAGATAATTTGAGGTGTACCATCAAATTACTGACAGGTAAGGAGGGGAAGAAACACTACATTAAATGTACACTTTGATTCCAGGAATGTTAAAATATGAAGAAGGAAACAAAACTCTGTTGATATAAACATGCATCTCAGAATTAAGGAAGTATAGAATTTCACTCAGTTGGTGTTATTGCATTTTGCTGTTGGTAGAGGCTAGGTAGGACTAATTTTATGAAAGCAACTAAACAAACATTTTTTAATACACATGGAAAAAAACTAATGAAAATTGAAGGCAAATAAAAGTTTTTTTAGGTCCATAGATTTTCTTTTATTCTCTTGCTAAAAAAAAAAAAAAAAAAAAAAAAAAAATCATAGACTGGTCAGGCACAGTGGCTTGCGCCTATAATTTCAGCACTTTGGGAGGCCAAGGGAGGACTGCTTGAGGCCAGGAGTTCAAGACCAGCCTGGGCAACATAGCAAGACCTCATCTCTACAAATAATAATAATAATAAAAATAGCCAGGCATGGTGGTGCACGCCTGTAGTCTCAGTTAGTCAGGAGGCTGAGGTAGATCACTTCAGCCCAGGAGGTTGAGGCTACAGTAAGCTATGATTGTGCCATGGACAGCTGGGGAGGTGCTGTACATGAGCCTGGAGCATCTTATAGTGCCAGAAAGTAAGGAAGTGCTCAAAACCAAAAGAGAGAAAGCACTGATAGAAGCATGTCAAAGAAGCACAGAAACAGACTGTAAGAGTTCCTGGTGGCCAAAGCTAGACCAACTGAGCAACAAAATAAGTAAGTGTTGAATTAAAATGCAAGGCATAAAACAAACATCTGTGTGGTCATACTGATGTAAGTAGCTGACTGAATAAATTAACAAATGTATAGAAGAGACAGAGCTTCCATGCAGATGAGTTCCAAATAATTTTTATTGGTACTCTACCCACAAAGACTTCCAAAAGAGTACAGCATGGAAAGGTGGGGAGGAGGGGGAGCAACTTTACAGGGGAGAAATCTGGCAAACACGACCCCCACCAGGGGGCCAAGGTCCACATTAACAGGATTAAACCATTTGACGGTACGTATGGGGGACCTCTAAAAACCCAGAATTATCTTTTGGTGGGCAGGCCCCCTGTAGTACACTTGGAATTTGTCCCTCAGATCAAGTGGTCAACCAAAGTTTTTATCTGGAAGTTTCAAGAAGGTAGCATCATGATTTGAGGAAGAAATGTCCTGAGTTATGGCAAACAGGTGACTGAGTCTTCCACACCATGACAGTGCCCCCACCGTGCTGAGTGTTCAACAGTTTATGACCAAAAACAGCATGACCTCCTTGCCCCACCCTCCCCATTCACACAATCTCACCCTGAGTGACTTTTTTGTGTGTGTTTCCCTGGATGGAAAAAGTCCTCAAAGGGAAATGTTTTGTCAATATGAGAGAGGCAAAACAAAAACGGCAGAAGCACTAAAAGGCATCAAAACTGACAAGTTCAAAAACTGTTTTGACGGCCGAGCTCGGTGGCTCAGCCTGTAATCCCAGCACTTTGGGAGACCAAGGCGAGTGGATTGCCTGAGTCCACGGGTTCGAGACCCGCCCGGACAACTTGGCGAAACCTCATCTCTACAACAAATCAAAAATTAGCCGGGTGTGGTAGTGCGTGCCTGTAGTTCCAGCTACCTGGAAGGCTGAGGCGGAAGGATCACTGGAGCCCAGCAGGTCGAGGCTGCAGTGACCGGGAGGCCGCCACTGCACTCCAGTCTGGGTGACAGAGTGAGACTCCAACTCAAAAAAAAAAAAAAAAAATGTTTTGAGCAGTGGAAGAAAATGTCTTCATAGGTGTATTACATCAAGTGAAGAGTACTTACATGAAGTTTAAACATGTAAGAATAAACAATTTTTTATAAATAAATTTTGTTTTTTTGCACCCCCCGCCAAACAGACATTAAGAAATTCTAAGACACATTTTACTTCCAGAGACATTCTAACTTCACCTCAAACCACAAATTCCCATCAAGTCCTACATACAAATAAAAAGAGGTGTTAAATTATTTATTTAATTATCTAAATTGACACATTGTAACTGTCTATATTTACGGAGTACAATATGACATTTTGCTACATAGCTGTGCTACATAGTGATCCA